TAAAAGTGGGCAAGAGGACCAGAGCCAAGAACTCCAGTGAAGCAAGTCATCGTATTTCTTTAACAGACATAAAAACAGCAGAAAGGGAGCCTCTGAAGTTAGAAAAGCCACCCCAAACCATACTTTCTAAAAGTTCAGGAGAAGTTACTACACGTAAGAATGAACAACAGATGGTGGTGCTCGTTGCACAGCTCTGAATATACTAAAACCGCTGAACTGTACACTTTAAACGGGTGAATTTTATGGTATGTGAAATATGTCTCAATAATGCTGTGGAAAAATTGAACACAAAATTATCAAGGTCACATCCCACACAAAATCATTATGAAGGGGCGAGGGGGGGGAGGGAGAATCAAAAGCATTCCAGAAGGACACTCAAAAAACAACAAATCTAAAATATATAGTTTTTATTTTTTATTTTATTTTATTATGTTAGTCACCATACAATATGTACGGTTTTTAAAAATTGGATGAAGTTAATATGTTTACTGCTAAAAACTACATACTGTGTAAAAATTAATTGGCAGGCATTAGGAAAACTGTGTAAGACAGGGACAAACAATATAAAGCGGAATTCATAAAACACAGAAATGTGGTGACATCTTGGGAGATATATTATTTCAGAAGTGAAAGCTAAGCCAGAAGAAAACAAGAATGGGTACACATTACAGAAAATGCCTGGCTAAGGGAAAATGTTTTAAATAAAAAAGCAATAAAGATAAACACAACTGGAGAAAAAGTGGCAAGTATTAAAGATAGCAAAGAAGAGCTGACTTTTGGATAATGGGATTATCTACAGAAGAAAACCAGAGCAAGGAAAAAGAATGCTGAAAACTAATGTTAAGGAAACTTTCCTGGAATTAAAAAAAAAAAAAAGATTTACGTTGATAAAGCATACCATGTACCTGAGACCAACCACAAGACACATTGTCGTAAAATTACTAGACTTTAAAGAAGAAGAAAAAATGTCTCAGACATTCCAGCGAAAACAGCAGATGATTTATAAAGGGAAGAAAACTAGATCACCCTCCAACTTTTGTTTATCTGCTCAGTACTCAGGTAATGTAGATACAGTACAACTATTTTTAAAAATGGAGAATTGGGGAAAGCATATGCAAGAAAAAAAGAACTGTTCTCAGTAATTATATTGGTGGAAATGTTAGTGTTATTCCAACACTGTGTGTAATGTGAGATAATATAAGTGAGCAGTTAGGAGATATTCTATCATCCTCTGTCTTTGAAAAGTAAGACTTTTAGTGTGGAAAAATACAGATGAAAAAAATTTAAGTTAGAAATAAAACACCTGGGCGCCTGGGTGGCTCAGTTGGTTAAGCGACTGCCTTTGGCTCAGGTCATGATCCTGGAGTCCCGGGATCGAGTCCCACATCGGGCTCCCTGCTCAGCAGGGAGTCTGCTTCTCCCTCTGACCCTCTTCCCTCTCGTGCTCTCTATCTCTCATTCTCTCTCTCTCAAATAAATAAATAAAAAATCTTTAAAAAAAAAAAAAAGAAATAAAACACCTGTAGTGCTGAATAGGAACTCATGAGAAATTGTATTGAAAAGTAACACACACACACACACACACACACACACACACACACCTACCTTGTGGTCTTGAAATACCATTCCCATTAGAAGAAACCAGGATGTCTTAGAGAAATAGCTAATTCCAAGTCCGGGGCAGGAAACTGGGAACATCTTGTTATAAAGACAGGGAAGAAATTTTCAAAGATAACTAGGGTCATAACAGTAGGACTCAGAAGCCAATTTGAAAATGTTTCCACTGGCCAGAGACAGTTTGGCTTCAAAAAGAGTGATTGTCAATAGCAACGAGCACTTCCAGAGCCCACATCTGGGTTTTTAATAGCATTCTCTAACTTAAACAAAACAAAACAGGGTCCCTTAGGGAAATGGCTGCTTCTAGGCTGGGGCAGAGAATATACCAGATGAGCCCGAAGCATCTTTTAGTACTAGAAAACAAGCACTAAAAAAAAAAGTCTGTTAATGGGGACACAGGCCAGCTGAAAGAACTCTTGCTGGCCCAAACTGGAAGAATTCTAGCAGGAAAATAACAATATTGGATTACAATACAAAAAAATCAAATCTCCATGGGTCTATAGTGAAAGAAAGAAATGATCAAAGAAATAAATGGAGAAGAGACCAAGCTCCCCTACAGAAATATTGTAAGTAATTTGTGTATATATTTCCGTCTCAAGGACGTGGAGCATAGCTCCTCCTTAAGTGTGGGCTGTTCAGTGACTTGCTTCCAAAGATGACAGTTTGGAAGTCGGGGGGAGAGGAGTTAACTTCACAGTTGGGAACCTCACAGACATTGCGTTAGTCGGATGATCTAGGTTAACATCAGCAGTGAGAAGTGATGTTGACGGTGTGTAGCCTTAATTTGATGTGATAAGAAGGGCACTTCAACCTTTATGGTACTCTCTTCCAAAACCCATAACCCCGGGTCTAATTATGAGAAAAACATCAGGCAGCCCTAAATCAAGGGACATTCTGCAAAATACCTGCTGAGTACTCACCCAAACTGCCCAGGTCCTCGAAAACCAGGAATATCTGAGAAATTGTCACAGCCAAGAGGAGACTAAAGAGACAGAGGACCAGAATGTCCCATTCTGGATGGGATCCTGGAACCAAAAAGGACATTAGGTAAAACCTCAGGGAAAAAGTAGTATAAGATGCTAATAATAGGGGAAACTAGGTACAGATAGAAAGGGAACTCCATACTACTCAATTTTTCTATAAATTTAAAACTATTCTAAAATTTAAAAGTGTATTTTAAACATATTTTTTAGAAATCATTGCAGTTGGTTAAAACCCATGAAATCCATGGGTCATAATTATATTTAAAAACAAAAATTGTTCCGTTTCAGAGGATAAGGAACCCATTGTTTACCTTGACAAGTGGTAAAGTGAAAGAATCAAGCGTCGATCCTTGTCTTTTTTTTTCCCCCTGGGTAACTACATAGTAGTAGATGAGGGGAAGCCTCACTTTGGAAAAGCATTCTAGTTAATAAAAAAAGAAATGTTAAAATTAGGAGTATCAACTTTTTGAAACCCCAGAAAATCAGTGAATCCAGGCATCAAGCCTCATCAGCTGCTAACATCACAACACATGAGACACAGATGTTACACTCCACCTGATGAGGGAACACAGCCCCGGCTAGAGTCATGCCGAAGGGATCAACCCTGAGTCAGATCAGGCCTCTGTATCCACTTGCCAGTCGGCAGAAATACAAAAGACCCTGTTGGACTGCAGCACGACTATGCAGTCAGCAAGATCCAGATTTGGGGAAACTCAACAGGTCAAATGCTCCAGTTTTCTTGGATAGATAACTTGTAAGGAAAGAAGGGGATGGGATGGGAGCCTGTAGATTAGAAGATATCAAAATGGGATGCCTGGGTGGCTCAGTGGGTTAAGCATCTGCCTTCGGCTCAGGTCATGATCCCGGGGTCCTGGGATGGAGCCACACATAGGGCTCCCTGCTCGGCGGGGAGTCTGCTTCTCCCGCTCCCCCTGCTTGTGTGCCCTCCCTCTCTCTGACAAATAAATAAGATCTTTAAAAAAACAGAAGATATCAAAATATTTGTAAATGAGCAAGACTGACCTTAAAAACGTTATGCTAAGTGAAAGAAGTCAGAGCCAAAGACCATATATTGTTTGATTCCATTAATAGGAAATTTCCAGAATAGGCACGTCTATAAGAGACAGAAGGTAGCTTGCTGGCAGTCAGGGGCTAGGGGGAGAGAAGAAATGGGAATCAACAGTACGTGGGCACAAGGGAGCTTTTGGGGGTAATGGAAATTGTTTTTCATTGGTGATGGTTTCACAACTCTGTACTAAAAATCATTGAGTAAAAAAAGGTACAAACGGACATCTCTGGCATCTAGGGATGCACTCTTGGGTCTTAAAGCTATAATAAACTTCAGGAAGTTGCTACTATAAAAGTTGGTACAGTGGTTACATTTTGGGAGGAGAAGGGGAGCAGTTCTCATTTGGAAGATGCTCCTGGAGAAGCCTTTGGGATAGGTACAGAAGCTGTATTTCTTGGCCCAGATGGAGACTACAAATGTCTAGCTTCCTTATAAAAACTTAAAATTATACATGTATATTTGTGTGTGTGTGTGTGGTTTCCAGTATCTTTTGTTTTACAATAAAAAATGTTAAAAAACAAAAACCACAAAGCTTGTAAGCTGTTGGAAGAGGATGAGATCCCCATTTGTTTCATTTTTTATCATAGTAATCAGTCTCTTTCTCATGGGCAAACTCAGGGTAGCCAGGAAATGCTCCTTTGCGTCACAAAAGGAAAACAAAATGAATGCAAAAGAGGGAGGTGGCAATTGGTTTATTTTCTTTTGGGTGTACACCGCATAACAAGCACCATTTGGACTTCAGACCTGTTCCAAACAAGTGTCAAATAGCACAGATACTCTTTTCTAGTAGGTTCAACTGCCCGGTGATTTACAGTTTTCTCTCTCTCTCTCTCTCTCTCTCTCTCTCTCACACACACACACACACACACACACACAGAAATGTATAGCTGTAATAAAGGAGCTGGATGGAGAGGGAAAGTCGCCTGCAGTCCCTCCTTCCTGACATACCACAAATCATTAAATCATAAATATTTTTTGAGTCTGTCTGGCTTGCTGGGGTTCTGTTGGGCAGTTGGTGTTTTTGTTGTGTGTGGATGGCGGGGGCGGGGGTGGGGAAGGGGCAGTGTTTGGCCTTTTTAGCAAGACATCTTTCCCAAAATGGAATTGATTCTGTGAATTCAGCTTGTTTTTGTTTTCTTGTGAAGATCACTCGGAGCATCAGGTCCTGTGTTAAGTAAGGGCAGTGTTCTCGGCCGCTCTGCTGGCTCCGGGGCAGGCAGCTAGCTGCCTTGCTTGTTCTCACTGTGTGCAGTTGTGTGCAGAGTGGAGCCCAGGCGCCTGACATTCCCTCAGTTCCTCACCCCTGCTTTCTCGTTTTTCCACTGCAGCAGAGCTCAAAAGAAGTGTTCAGCACCAGGAGGATGAGGAACACAAGGAGGAGGTTGAGGATGATGAGCAGACACTCCGCAGAGCTCGGGAGTGGGATGACTGGAAGGACACCCATCCTAGGGGCTATGGCAACCGACAGAACATGGGCTAGTCCTCCCACCACAAGACAGGACTACAGGGGTCACATCTCCCCTGCCAAGGAAAGCGGCGCCGTCTTCCCCTCCCTGAGCTCCTGCTTCAGCTGCATACAACGAAGGCAAAGATGCTCAGTCTTGCTTTGCAAAGTTCAATAAAGTGTCAACCAATAGGCGTGTATTTGTAACCCTAGGTGACGAGCCAGCAATCTTGTTTTGGCATTCTCCTCCTCCTCGTGGTGTATTCCAGCTCCTTAAGTGGAGAGAAAAGAGTACTGAGAAGTGGCTCTGTATAATCAGTGGCTGTATGAATTCTCTTAAAAAAAAATGATAGTAATAATAAAAGTCCATTCTGTTACATGAGCCTGTGCAGAAATTTGAGTATCAGCTGCTTTTTTTTGAGGGGGAGGGGGTCAGCTCTGGGCGCCCGACCTTATGGGGGGACCCTTTGATGTGGGCAGTGAATTTTCCAGCATCAGAGCTGCCCAGAGGAGCTGGAGCTTGGCTTCCTCCTTCCTGGCCTAGGAATGAGCAGCTGCGCAATGGCCCAACACTCTGCCTCACAAGGGGTGCGTGTGGAAGCCAGGACTTCTCCCTGCCACACAGCACTGTTTTCAGCAATTAGAGCTGTAAACGAATGAACCAAAGCACTCCTCTCTCCCTAGCCTGCCTCGGCCAGGAGAAAAAGGAGAGAAACAGATAAGGTGCCGTGAGAGTCGTCCTTGTGCGTGCAGCTGGGGCCGGGACCTTGGCTCTCATGGAGCTATTTGCGGTAACCCTTAGGGTGAAGAGCGGCTCGGGCTATGGCCCAGCTCCCCATGGGCTGTCGGAAGACCGTCCTGGCCCGGCTTGCCTGTGCCGCACCATACCCGGCACAGTCTGCAGTGGGAGATGGGCCACGGCAGTCATTTTGCTGCTTAGTAGAAGGTGCTTGCAGCCATGCCGACAGCTGGGTGTGGAGGGAGGAAGACGGCTCGGATGACGTGGAGGGGTACCTACTTTCTGCTGTAGAAGTCCTCAGCTCTTGGGTTGATACCCTAAAAAAGCAGCCATGTGTTGAAACGTGATCTGTGTAGAAAACGTGCTTTTGTTCTATGTGGCTTAGCCACACTTAGGTTTTTGGTTTTGTTGTAAGATTTTATTTGAGAGAGAGAGAGAGAACAAGCGGGGGGGGGGGGCAGCGGGAGAGGGACAAGCAGACTCCCGTTGCAGGGCTCGATCCCAGGACCCCGAGATCATGACCTGAGCCTAAGGCCGACGCCCAACCGGCTGAGCCACCCAGGCGCCCCTTAGGTTTTCTTTTAAGAGGAAGATGACTCAGCCTTCCCATCCTAGCCTCTGCAGTCTGGCTTAGGTTCGAACAGGAGACTCGAGTCCCTCTTGTTTACAGGGTGATGAGTGGAGGGCTGTCAGGCGATGAGTAGGAGGTCGTGTTTAGTGAGAGAGGACGGAAGACCACCAGTACTCTATTTGTATACCGTTTCATGAAGGACTCCCCTCACCCTCACAACATAAGCTCCTGAAACTGCTAGAGCACAGATTAAGTTTCTCCAAGGATTTGGGAGGCAAACGTTCATTTTTAGCTCTCTTCCAATCACTGCCAGCTTCCCTGTAGTGATGGCCTATTTCCTGCCCTCGAAACTCCACCCTGAGTTCCTTCTCAAAATGGGCCAGGTTGGGGTTACCCCCTTGGCCTGAGTCTATTTAAAGATGGGCCTTCCAGAAGACCCAGCTCGATGAAGCCCCCTCACACATTCTGATACCTAAGAGGTAACCTAGAGGAGGTGGGTTGGGATCCCGCCTTTTAGAAATTGCAAGCGGTGTGATCTTGGGCGATACAATTTCTCGGGACTGCTCCTGTTGCCTCCCTGTCTAGGGATGAGCTGTAGCAGGGGGTTGTTCAATAGTGGCAGCCATTAGAAGAGCCTGGAGCAGCTGAAGGGCAAGTGCTTTCGCTCTAGGCTCAGTGATTACAGTCTGTCCGCGAGGAAGGGAAAGGAAAGGGACAGGGACAGGTACGGGGTGCCGAACCCAGCACTTCCACACACCGTGAATGCAATGACCCTGCGAGGGAGGTAGCATCGTCCCCACTTTACAGAAGAGAAAACAGGCCCCGGGAAGCTGATTTCCTCAAGTTCATACTAGTCAGCGGGGCTTCTGTCCTTTCCCCCATTTGCTTCCCAGTTGCGTGTGCTTGTTGTGTGTCTTAAAGCTGCTTAAAAGGGAGGGAGCCGCTTTAAAAAACTCCAAACCCAAACCACCACTTACACATCACTGGAGCTCTAGAAATGCCTTCTTGGCTGACTCACCAAAGAAAAAGGTTATGCCAGCTTCCCCCGCCCCTGCCCCCTCAGCTGGGGGATAGGAAGACAGAGGGGGCGAGCAAGCCCTTCTTCCTCCATTTTCCCCCGAGGCACAGCCGTCCCGAAAAAAGAACCACCTTCTCGACTCCCACCGCGGCCGGCTCTCTCCGGGCCCTAAAGCGAGCTGGGTTTGGCGGACGCCCGGAGGTGAGTTCACCAGATAGTAATACGGCTTCTTAGTTTACCGAGGGCTTTCCTTCACAAACGCTGCTTATTTCGTCCTAACAACCTGTCAGGCAGGAGATGATACCTTAATTTTACGAAGCAGGAAGCGGGCTCAGGAAGAAACGGCTCAGCCACGCAGCTACTAAGTCGATGGTGCAAACCTATCAGTGTCGCCAAAATCTTTGCCCTCAGTAGCGCTCCCGTGGAGGCCAAATGGATTTGTTTTAAAAGGTGAATGCTGAGCACTGCCTTTTCATGCCGTTCTGCGGTGGTTTGTCCCTTCCACGCGGGTTCCTCCCAACGTCCCTATGAGAAAGACTGGGCAGGGCACTGGATGAGCCCGTCGCAAGCGCAAGAGGTTGGTGGCGAGAGTCCTGAGCTGGGCTCTCCATCCGCCACTCCTGAGCAGAGTGCCCCCAGGCCACCCTGGTCACCCAGGTCACTCCTGTCATTTGAAACAAACTGCAAGGGGGGAACCTTTTGGAACTAAATCCACCTCTCTGTATCCCCTGAGCTCCACAGTTCTCCCCCATTTACTCTGGGCCTCCTGCTTTGCCCATTAGCGCAAGACACCTGGCCACCCATCTCTGTTAGACACTCTAGGGCAAGACGGTATTGTTACCATTGTCTCCGTACCCAAACAGCTCCCTGACACCTGCACAGGGTTTCCTCACTGTTTGTTTTTAACCCGTTCAAGGAAGGTACAGCTTAACCTGGCACGGTTCCCTCATATGCCATAACAAGGACATTTGGGTTCTAGTCCCAGCTCTGTTGTTTACCTTTGCCCCTTCCAGATGCACGCAGCCTCTGCCCTCCTTACCTCACAGGCTCAAGGGAGGCGCAGGTGAAATCAAACACGTGAACACCCTTCGAACAGTTATAAAACGTGGCACAAGAGTGAGGAATAAGAGCCGTAGGCTGCTGGTAAGCAACGTGGGTTTTTTTTGTTTGGTTGGTTGGTTTGGTTTTTGGTTTTTGGTTTTTTTGTTTGTTTGTTTGTTTGTTTGTTTGTTTAATCCAGCATTTCCCAACTGTTTTTGAACCCCTGCCTCTCTAACACTTTCTCAATCTATTGTCCATATATCACCACCAGCAAGAGGGGTTGTGAAATGCTTTTGTGTGCTGACATGACCCGCAAAGGGAGAGGAATGGTTATGCGCAGTGGAAATGGAGAACCAGTTTTTACGCATCTGCTCGCCAGGCCGCCTTTGCCAATTGTGTGTGAAAGGATGGTGAGCGAAGTCTTAGACTTCATGCGGGACATAGGAAGGTGGGCAGCAACACCTCGGTGGCACGATGCTCTGGGAATAACCCCTCTCCTTTCTCTCTGTTGTTGTTTTGTTTGTTTGTTTGTTTCTAACAAAGCACTTCTTTTTTTAAAGATTTTATTTATTTATTTGACATAGAGAGAGAGCCAAGTAGGCAGAGCGGCAGAGGGAGAGGGAGAAGCAGGCTCCCCACTGAGCAGGGACCCGGGGCTTGATCCCAGGACCCTGGGATCACGACCTGAGCTGAAGGCAGACGCTTAACCCAATGAGCCACCCAGGCGCCCCACCCCCATCCCGTTCCTCTAAGTTTTGAGCAACAATTCCACCCGTTTTGCCCCACAGGACCTGGGCGGGGGGGGGGGGCACATCAGAGACCTGCTCGTTAGAGGGAAACCCCTACTCAGAAACCTCCCCTTCCCGAGGCCCCCAAATCCCTCAACCTGCAGGGGAACACCCCTGCCTCTGATGCCAGGCCCACCCGCTCTCCTCTTCCAGTCCTAGCTGATCATTAATCTTTTTTGTTCCTTTTTTTTAAATTTAAAGATTTATTTTTTTATTTGAGCGGGGGGGCAAGGGGCAGAGGGAGAGGGAGAGAGAATCTCCAGCAGGCACCATGCTCAGCACGGAGCCCGACACAGGGCTTGATCTCGAGACCCCAAGATCATGACCTGAGATAAAATCAAGCCACCCAGGTGCCCCTGATCTTTAATCTTTTAAACCCTCTACCCCAGCCTCTTACTTAAGGACCCCTACATATTTTTAAGCCAGTCGAAGCCCCCCTTGGTCCAAGGCCTTCCTAGACAACTAAAACCAGACCCAGGCCATGAACGCATGAGGCTTGGAGGCCAAGTGCTGGGAGGAAGGGTTTCTGCCTGGACTCTGAGGCCTTTGCACACTCAGCAGCAGGTGCCACCTTGGCTCTCCTGGTGCCCTTGGCCCTGGCTCAGAGAGATGGAGAGATTTGCAGAATGACCTCTCACCAGCTTTATGTAACCTGTCTTCTCCCTACCTGTCCACCTCCTCCCTGGGTGAGCGCCACACACCTCCAGCTTCCCTGATGGCTAGCGCTGGCCCCGACCTTTCTGCTCAACTCCCAGACCTAGATCCTACCATCCACTACCCAGCTCCTCTTGAGGAATACACATAACTCAAATTCAACAGCCTTGAAATGAACTCATCGTACTCCCCACCCCTCTCGCTCCCTCAGAGCTGCTTAGGTCCCCAGAGCCTGCTTAGAGCTTATCCAGAGAGGCTCCGCATTGTTTCCGGCTCTTTCCTCCTGACAAAGCATGCATTCAGTGTCTGTGGAATGAATTACTGAGTGAATGAGTCCCATCATGAATCACACTTCTTCATCAGGCAGATTCACAACAATCCGGCCTCTCTCTTTTCATATTCAAACAACTTTACATAAAAGACAACCCAGAATCTCTTCACCTTAAAACAGCAATCATTTCTCTCTCAGACTTCCTTTCATCCTATCACTGAAGATACCACAGTTTTACAAAGTGCATTCAATGGAGAGGTCTGCTTTTACAGCTTTAGGATATCGTATACGACAGAGTCTGCCTTACAATAAT